GAAATACCTGAATGGATGCCGTGTGTGTTCTAATTTTATTAGATTTTATGGCACCTGGGAAGGCAGCAGTCAGCAAGCAAAGAATGGACAGGAAATGGGCCAGACTAGGACACCCGAAGGGCTGCTCCAGTGACCCACTTCCTCCAGTGAGGCTCTAAGGAGGTCTACAATCTTCCAAATCAGTAGCACCTGGGGACCAAGTGTTCAAACACAGGAGCCTGTTGAGACATTTCACATTCAAACCACATGCCCCTCCTTGTGATGCCTGGAATTACAACAGTATTGTCAATCGAGGGTTAGTTCCTATTATCCATGCTAGACAGAGCAATGCCCCCCAAATGTTTCCACTCCTTTTCTCATGGCCGAGATGAAATTCCTGACGGAAACAGTTTACGGAGGGAAGGTTGGCTTGGTTTGGTCTAAAGCACAGAGTCCATTGTGGCAGGGAAAGCGTGGCAGCTGGACTAGCACAGTCGATGGAGATGAGAACTTGCAGATGGCCATACACTGGCATCAGACAGGGAACTCAGAGCTCAGGACTGGAAACAGGCACCAAGCTCTAGCCTTCAAAACCCACCACTAGTGACCTGTGTCCACTACCCTGGTCCTATAGCCCAAGGATTCCACAGTCTCCCAAAACAGTGCCATCCCCGGGCACCAAGAGTTCAAACACACAAACCTGTGGGGAGCTTTACAGCCAATCTGTACCAGATGTTTCCATTCTAACTTCCAGACGCTGTGAATGCAGTATGTCCATGGCCAGGAGAGATGGCAGTATAGATACACTTAAACTTGATAACCATCTGACCTTAGGTTAAAGAGTGTGTACCAAGTTAGCCAACGGAGAACAGTGTGATCAGAAAGAGGCCTGCAATTGAGAAGGAGGGGGCAGAAGAGCCAGGACTAGAGGAGGGAGGGCACCATGACAGTCCATCATCCCCCAGTGCTAGTTTTCAAGATGGAAAGGGACAACGAGGCTAAGAGAAGAGGACGCCTCATGCTAGGAAAAGGAGTGAACAGTGTCTTCCCTAGATCCTCCCAAAGGAACATAACTGGTGACATCTTGATCTGAACCCAATGAAATTCATTTCACATTTCTGGCCTCCAGTGCTAGAAATCAAAGATAGTAATCACAGATACTGAAAGTCATTCACTTCTAGTCATGTGTCACAGTAGTAAAAAAAAAAAAAAAAAAAATATCTCACACTACCTATTACATGCCAAAAAGGATAGAGGACTTTGGTTAATATTTTTCTTCCAGCTACACAATAGTAAGTATGTAAACAGCCAAATGCTTTTTTAAAATAACATTTATTTTATTTTATTTTATATTTTATTTTATGTGGATGGCTGTTTTGCTGTATGTATATCTGTGTAAGACATGTCTGTTGCCTGCAGAGGTCAGAAGAGGGTATGAGATCCCCTGGGACTAGAGTTATAGATGGCTGTAAACCGCTGTGTGAACCTGGGTCCTCTGGAAGAACAGCCAGTGCTCATAATCACTGAGCCATCAAGTCAGCACCCGAACTCATTTTTTCAAACTGAATGGATGAATGAACTAAAGTGAAAACAATTTGAAAATTCATCAATCAATTAAACAATGATAATGGATTCCAAATGATAAAAACAAACAAAAACAAATCACTGACCCCAGATTTTGTGTCTGCTGGTCTCAGACCATTAATGCTTATCAGAAGGACGTACTATGGGATCATATGATAGCTCAACTAGTAAAAGCACTTGTGGTCAAGCCCGACAGGCAACCTGAGTTTGACCTCTGGGACGTAAAATGGTAGGAGAGAAGAAGTTGTTCACTAACCTCCATGTACGCCATGTACACACTGTAGCATGTGAATGCACCCACTCACTTCACATACATACACAAATATTTACAAATTATTATATATTCATATATATCACACACAAATATATACAAATATATTATTATATATTGGTTATATATTAATATATGTATATAAAGAACATATATTAATATATAATGTAATGAGATACTTGTGTGTGCTTTTATTATTGATTTATATATTTTTAAAAATAGCATAGTTGTATGCATATTTGTGTGTAGTATATATGAATGTATATAATATGTATATTATATATATAATAAAAACTTTTAAATGAAATATCATAAACTGGGTTTTTAGTAAAACTCCATCTCTTTTCACAGTACTGGGCCTGGGAAATCAGAGGAAGTAGTATATGTGGATATATGTAATATGTATATTATATATATATAATAAAAACTTTACAATGAAATACCATAGACTGAATTTTTAGTAAAATTCCTCTTCTTGTCACAGTCCCGGGCCTGGGAAGTCAGCAGCATGTCCCAGCAGCACTCTGGGCAACTCCTCACTGTTGGCAGCTGCTCCCCTCATTTGCTGGGTCACCACAGAGCCATGGATTGGGGTGTGGGAGGAGCAGAGGCCTCGGGCACACTGAGACTCCCAGATACACTTCCTGGATGACTTTTGCCCCTTGGGGTGAATGCTTAGATGATTGATTTCTGCCCCTTGGGGTGACTGCCTTGGGCATCTCAGTGGAGATTTCATTTCTCTGGTGAGTGAAGTCTTAAGGCTGCTAAGAAAGCCTGCCTCAGACACAGAATGGGAGACTGTGGCAACGATTCTTTAGCTCCTTACTGCTCAGTGCTGAGTGTGTTAGATCCCCGCTGCCCCTTACTCGGGGTTCGGAACATGATCAGAGCTGTCACTCCACAGATACACTCATTCTAAAAAGACGAGATCGGAACACAGAGCGAGAGTTCCATCTCCCTCCCACTGACCTCACAGTCTCTCTACAGCTCTCCTTGTACTAAGAAGTGTGGAATAAAGTCTCCTTCTATTTAAATCTTTTTACTTATGCATTTGATCCTTCACTAATCCACAAATGCAAAAGGGATGGGGGAAGCTACGGGCACCAAAATGTGGTGACTGTCAACGAAAACGGCATGCTATGTGCCAAACAGGATATAGGATTTGGGTTCATATTTTTCAATTTGACTGGTGGATAAGTGCATAAAATATATTTGATAGTGAAAGTATAAAATATAGATACACATAAAGAGTAAAAGAAGATACATTATCTAATCAAAAGTACGTTTAATTGTCTATGTTAGCATTTAGACATCTGTACTGGCCTGCCCCTAGGGTCCTGACAGGATATATCCTCAGCTGCAGCCACTAAGAGGACCCCCTGTGCACATTCACTGTTTCCTGTCTCGTTTTCTTTCTCTTCCTTTGCTCTCATCCCCAGGGACAGGTCTTTGCCCCCTTCTCTCCCCTCCTCTCAATAAACCTCCCGTTAATATTCTGATTTGCCCCTTGAAATCCCACCCCTTGGTGCTGCCCTGTGTCCTGATGTAAAAGCCTCATCCGAACAATAATTCATAACATTGGCACCCAATGTCACCAGGCAATCCCACTGCTTTCTCCTGCCCACCAGCAGTCTGAGGAGCTCTGGGATCCTGTACCACCCACCATTTTTCAGGCTGGAGCACTGTCGACTCTTCACCCTACCAGATCAGTAAGATTCCTCCCTTCCCTTCTGGCCATTTTCCCACAAGTGAGGATTTGTCTCGTTTCTCTTGCTGGTACTTCGTGTCTTTCAGGCTCTAAGCCCCTCGGCCCCAGTCCTATATGACGGCATATGGAGATGGCTTGTGCTCACTCAATTCCACGGCCCATAGCCTTTGTTATGACGGTCCATTGGCTATCTTGCACCATTCATTAGTCCTTGCTGTCTCTCTGGAACACTGGAGGTCAGATTCCTCTGTTTCACTTGCTGGTACCACACATCTTTGGGGCTCATTGCCCTTCAGCCCCCATCCCTGTGATGACATATGAAGACAGCCTGTGCCCTCTCAATTTCATGGCCTATAGCCTTTGTGACGACGGCCCAAAGGAAGGAAATAAAAGACACCAGAAATCAGTAAAACACAAGACAAACAAAGAGAACCAATTAAATTAAAATTTATGTTCTTAAAGATACGATTTTTTTTCTTTTCTTTTTTTTTTATTTTGCAATACAGTTCAGTTCTACATATCAGCCACGGATTCCCTTGTTCTCCCCCCTCCCGTCCCCCTCACCTTTCCCCCGGCCCACCCCCATTCCCACCTCCTCCAAGGCAAAGCCTCCCCCGAGGACTGAGATCAACCTGGTAGACTCAGTCCAGGCAGGTCCAGTCCCCTCCTCCCAGGCCGAGCCAAGCGACCCTGCATAGGTCCCAGGTTTCAAACAGTCAACTCATGCAATGAGCACAGGACCCGGTCCCACTGCCTGGATGCCTCCCAAACAGATCAAGCCAATCAACGGTCTCACCCATTCAGAGGGCCTGATCCAGTTGGGGACCCCTCAGCCATTGGTTCATAGTTCATGTGTTTCCATTCGTTTGGCTATTTGTCCCTGTGCTTTATCCAACCTTGGTCTCAACAATTCTCGTTCATATAAACCCTCCTCTTTCTCACTAATTGGACTCCCAGAGCTCCACCCGGGGCCTAGCCATGGATCTTTGCATCCAGATCCCTCAGTCGTTGGATGGGGTTTCTAGCACGACAATTAGGGTGTTTGGCCATCCCATCACCAGAGTAGGTCAGTTCGGGCTGTCTCTCGACCATTGCCAGCAGTCTGTTGTGGGGGTATCTTTGTGGATTTCTGTGGGCCTCTCTAGCACTTTGCTTCTTCCTATTCTCATGTGGTCTTCATTTGCCATGGTCTCCTATTTCTTGTTCTCCCTCTCTGTTGTTGATCCAGCTGGGATCTCCCGCTCCCCCAAGTTCTCTTTCCCTCGACCCTCGCCCTTCATTACCCCCACTCATGTCCAGGCTGTTCATGTAGATCTCTTCCATTTCTCTGTCATTGGGCAATCCCCATGTCTTTCTTTGGGTCCTGTTTTCCAGGTAGCCTCCCTGGTGATGTGATTAGCAGTCCAGTCATCCTTGTTCCACATCTTGTATCCTCCTATGAGTGAGTACATACCATGTTTGTCTTTCTGAGTCTGGGTTACCTCACTCAGGATGATTTTTTTCTAGATCCATCCATTTGCCTGCAAACCTCATGATGTCATTGTTTTTCTCTGCTGAGTAGTATTCCATTGTGTATATGTACCACATTTTGTTTATCCATTCTTCAGTTGAAGGGCATCTAGGTTGTTTCCATGTTCTGGCTATTACAAACAGTGCTGATATGAACATAGCTGAACAAGTACTCTTGTGGTATGACTGAGCATTCCTTGGGTATATGCCCAAGAGTGGTATAGCTGGATCTTGAGGAAGATCGATTCCCAATTTTCTAAGAAAGCGCCATATTGATTTCCAAAGTGGTTGTACAAGTTTGCATTCCCACCAGCAGTGGAGGAGAGTTCCCCTAGCTCCACATCTTCTCCAGCATAAGGTGTCTTCAGTGTTTTTGATCTTAGCCATTCTGACAGGCATAAGGTGGTAAAGATACGATTTTTTAAAGTCTGGATTTGAGAGATAGCTCAGCAGTTAAGAGAGCACTTGCTGTTCTTGCAGAGAAACAGAGTTTGGTTCCAGCACACACATGATGGTTCAAAAGTGCCTGTAAATCCAGCTCTAGAGGATCTAATGCCTTCTTCTGGCCTCCTTGAACACCTGCACTCATGTCACACACACACACACACACACACACACACACACACACACACACACAATCCCACTGCTGGGGAGGCAGAGATAGGAGGATCCCTAGGGCTTGCTGGCACCACTCAATCTGGATTGGTGAGCTCCCAGTTCAGTGAGAGGCCCTGCCTCAAAAAAACAAGGTGGAGAGTGTAGCAGGTTTTCTTCTGGGACACCAACCAGCTCCCAAATCATGACACAGAGACATAGTATTAGTTATGAATGCTCGGCCTTATCTTATGCTTGTCTCACTAGCTCTTATAACTTAAATTAACCTGTTTATCTTCAACTATGTTTTGCCTCAGGGCCTTTTATTTTTCTTTCATTCTGTATGTCCTACTCCATGTCTGGCTAGCTGGCCCTGGGTGTCTCCCTCTCCTTCTCCCTTGTTCTCTCCCCTCAAGCCTAGATTCGACCTCCTACTTATTCTCCCTGCCCACCTATCCCTCTACCGCCTAGCTACTGGCCGTGCAGCTTTTTATTAGACCAATCAGGTAACTTAGGCAGGCAGGGTAAAACAGCAACACATCTTAACATAATTAAACAAATGCAGCATAAACAAATGTAACACATTCTTACATAGTGAAAGTAATATTCCACAACAGGAGAGCAATTGAGGAAGACATAGACATGACCTCGGGTTCGCATACATGCATGCACACTTGTGCACATGCAGACACATATACAAACACTGTGGTGTAACTATGCAGTGACTCCACACACAAGAATGAATGCTGAGTATAGGAAGACACACCCTCAACTCTATAAGGTACACACTGCATGATTCCATTTACAGGAAATTCTAGGGAAAAAAGTCAACTGATAATGATAGAAAGCAGATCAGCAGCTGTTGGGGGTAATTTATGGAATTGTACACCTAAAATTGAGTGATTACATTGTATATAAATTACACCGAACAAATATGATTTCTAAAATAACAATTTAAGAAATATTCCACTCCCACGGCATCAGCTAGAAAATACAGCCTATTATTTTTATTGTGCTTTTATTATGCAAATGAACCTGCTTTTGACATCATATTCCAATCATCTCAGGAAGTCTGATTTTATCTGCAGATTCTCCCTCAAGTCTGAGGCATGCTTACAAGCTAAGTCCACAAACTCTGAGCTGTTTAAAAGCTGCCCCTGGTCAGAAGGTGAAGAAACAAGACTTGAAAATGTCTCATGTGAAGGGAACAGGATGGTCCAGTTGGGGAAGGAATGGAGTGGGAGAGCAGTGAAAGAGATGTCTTGATAGAGGCAGACATTATGAGGTAAGGGAGAAACCTGGTGCTAGGGAACTTCCCAGGCACCCACAGGGATGATTCTAACTGAGACTACTAGCAATGGTGGGGAGGGTGCCTGAACTGGCCTTCCCCTGTAATCAGATTGGTGAATACCCTGTCATCATGGAGCCTTTATCCAGTAACTGATGGAATTGGATGCAGAGATCCACAGCCAAGCACTGGGCCGAATTCTGGGAGTCCAGTCGAGGAGAGAGACAGGGGATAGTATGAGCAAGGCGGGGAGGGGGGATCAAGATCATGATGGGGAAATCTACAGAGACAAGTGAACCAAGCTTGTGGGAACTCACAAACTCTGGACAGACAGCTGTAGAACCTGCGTGGGGCCAGACTAGACCCTCTGCATGTGGGATACAGTTGTGGGCTTTGGTCTGTTTGGGGAGCCCCTGTTAGTGGGATCAGGATCTGTCCTTCGTGCATGAGCTGGCTTTTTGGAGCCCATTCCCTATGATGCTGGGGGTGGGCAGTGTTGGTCCTGCCTCAACTGAATGTGCCAGGCTTTGTTGACTCCCCAGGGGAGGCCTTGCCCTTTTGGAAGAGTGGATGGGGAGGTGAGTTGGAGGGGGGGATGGGAAGGGGTAGTGGGAGGAGGAATGGGAGGGGAAACTGTGGTTGGTATGTAAAGTGAAAAACAAATAAATAAATAAACAAATTGTAATTTAAGAAAAGAAAAAGAAAATGGTTCATGTGAATAAGGCCATTTCTTCCAGAGCACATCACCATCCCCACCTCTGCCCAGCACCACAAGGATGAACGCAGCATGACAGCCCACAGTCTGAAAGAAGGGCCTCCCTCCATGCACCCTGCCTATGATGGTGGAGCCCAGCAGTTTGGAACAGTCTCCCAGGAAGCCCAGGGGAAAGACTCTCCATGCCTGGCACTGCCATTCCAGATCCATCATCTACAGAGGACAGACCCAGAAACACTGCCCCCACCCCAGGATTTCTGATGTTTCAACATCTATTTGCTCAATTTGAAGTGGGGGTGTGGCTTCAGCTGTTGGATGGACAGGGCCTATGGTGTCAGGAGGGTAGGATTCAGAGGGACTCTGCCACCCAGGGAACACTCCCCATGTCAGCTCTCTACTGGACCCTCCCATTTGGGAGCACACAAGAGCAGACGAACCTCCATATCCCATCCGCAATCTCAAAGAGCTCCAGTTCCCACCTTGGAAGTAATCATTTCCCAAAATGAATGACCTTGCCTTCTGGTTAAACCTCACCTTGTCACCATGGAAAAGATGGGGGTGATGGGTTTGACTTTACTATGTCCTCTCAATGCCACAGCAGACCTTTATAACATTATGATAAAGTTTTCAGAACTCTTCTAACAACATGGCAAATGATGACTACATGTTATGAGCAAGTTTGGCAGCCATGACCAGAAACTATATTTAAAGCATGTACATAGAAAAAACTAGAAGGAAATACACCAGCTGATAACTGTGGCATTAGGATGGGGGTTTTGTTTTCTGCATTTGAATCTTCCTGCAGACCTCTTTACAGTTTAGACACACAAATAAATGCCCCTTTGATTAGCCTGGCCTCCTTGGTTGCTAAGTGATAGAAGCTTTTCCCAAACAACTGTTGCTATATGGTTGAGACATCCAGGCCTGTGTAATGCAGGTTCTCACCCAGATGGTCCCCTTCCCAGGCCCCTTGGGTTAGCTGTTATTCATTTGCTGGCCTCATTCTTACAGAAAAGACAAGACTTTCCTCCAGGGATGGGGGACATGGACACCAGGGACACCTTGTTTATTCTCTTACTATGTTTACCTGATAGAAAACTACTCAGCCATAAAGAAGAATGGAATCCAATAATTAGTAACTGTGTGAATGGACACCAGAGTACATTATGGTGGTTTGAATGAGTGACCCCCATAGTCTCATATATTTGTTCGCTAGGTCCCTAGTTGGTGAAACAGTTTTGGGAAAGATTAGAAGATTTGACCTTGTTGGAGAAAGTGTGTCACTGGGGTAGACTTTGCAGTTTCAAAAGCCCATGTCAAGCACAGAGTCTGTCTCTGCCTATGGATCAGGATATAGTTCTCAGCTACTGCCCCAGAGTCTGCCTTCCTGCCTCCATTCTCTCCACCACGATGATCATGGACTCACCCTCTGAAACTGTAAGCAAGCCCTCATTCAATGCTTTCTTTAATAAGTTACCTTGGCCATAGTGTCTCTTCATGGTAATAGAAAAGCAGCTAAGATAATTATGTTGAGTGAAACCAGCCAGACACAGAAGGACAAACACCACATCTTGCTCACTCGTGTAAAGCCCAAGTCAGCATCACATAGGTACAGAACAGAAGAATAGTAACTAGAAATGGGGAAAGGAAATTTAGAAGGACTTCTAGGAACCAGAAAGAGTACTAGGGAGAATGGGGGAAGATGACCTAGGTCATGAGAGATGGATGGGCACAGTCAACGCATAATGGCTATACATATAAGGATATCACAGTGAACCCCTTTAAGTTGTATGACTCATACATATTAATTTTAAAAATACTTTTTAAAAAAGAAGTGAAGTCATGGCTGTAACACCCCAATGATGTGGTCAGGAGGCCTTTAGAACCAACTCACCAGACAGGTTTGGAAACAGCTAGATTGCTGTAAGGGAAACATAACTGGTTCTGGCAGGAACTGAAAAGATCAGAAAGGTGGAGAGTCACAGTATAAGGTGATGAGGTCTCAGTGGGCCCCAGTCACAGAAACCTCAATAACAGGAAGCCTATGGGAAAGGTGAGGGAAAACTCTATTTGGTCAACTTGTTCCTCTCTGATCCATCCTTCACTTCCACGGGTGGAAGGCCTAGACAGACTGTGCTCAGAGAAATTCAGCACTGTGGTGGACGTTCTGGGTCCAGGGAGCAGCAGAGATCAGATGCGTATGCACTTGGCAAAGCAAAGGAGACCCACCATGCCTCCATTCCAGTGTCTCCTCAAGACCCATCTCTCTCCTTTTCTCTGGTAAACATCTTCCAAAGCAATCAGGCCTTATCTCCAAACCATTGTAATTATAGGCTGCAAAAAGAAAACTAAACAAAATGTTCCATAGAGCCTGCCCCATCTACAGTTGGTGGCTTCACACCCATACCTCATCTGTTCAAGTCTTACCTGGAAAAAAAGAAGAAGACGATACCATTATGGCTGAATTGAACTGGTGATGACCACCTGACCCACCTCCCTCAAGGCAGCCAACCCGTATACTGGTTAGAAATCTGATTATGTGGAGCTGGGAAGATGGCTCACCGGGTAAAGTGTTGTGTAAACATGAGGACCTGAATTTGATCCTAACAACCAGATAAAGAACATGATATGGTGGCTTCTGCTGGCGGTCCTAGTGCTGGAAATGGAGACTAGGGGATGCCTGGGGCTCACTGACCAGTTCATCCTAGCCCAGGAAGCTCTAAGTCCCAGTCACAAACTCTGTCTCAAAGACCAAAGTGAATGTTGTCTGAGGAATAAACACCCAGAGTTGACTGCTGGCTAACACACACACACACACACACACACACACACACACACACACACACACACACACACACACACTCTCAGCCCTCCACACACATACATGAAAAAGATGAAAAGGAAAGAAACCTGACCTTGCACCAAAAGATGAACAGACTCTGTCTTGAGAACTTGGTATGGGACATGAGATTGCCAGAGGTTGGTGGTGAAAAGGTCCTGCAAATTGAAAGTGATGGCAGCCATTTGCAAGTTGATGTGCAGAAGAGGCTGTATTGTGGAGAAAGAGAAATGGGTCACAATGAGCAAAAGAGGAGAATCTATGCCCAGGAGACAGAGAGGGAGGGTGGAGCCAGCTGTTGGGTCCTTGTCCCCTGGTGCTCAGCTGCACGGCGTCCATGGCCTCTGATTTGAGAGCACAGAATTCTTGCAATCAATATGTATCTTCTCCTGAGGAACTTGAATGAGTTTTGTTTCCTTGCAGCCAAAGGGGCCATAAATTGAAATACCACACATCTTTTTTAATCATCTCCCAACACCACACAGTAGCTTATTTAAAGGCAAGCCCTGAGTTTTATTTCATTGGCATGATTCAACTCATAGCAGGATGGAGCAGTATGAAAGTTGGTTACAATAGAGGAAGAAAGGAAGGAGGAAAGGAGAGACCTCTGAGGCAGGGAGGGAGGGAGTGAGGAAGGGAAGGAGGAAAGAAGGAAGGGAGGGAGGGAGATGACAGATTACTAGTAGAACAGTGAATGGCTTCTTTTGCCTGCCCTATTTCAGTTCCTTTTGTGAAACAGCTTTTCTTCCTCCCTCTGAAACTCAGCTGAGATTAAAAAGCCCAGGATCCCACCCCAAAGCCACTGAAGCAGAACTATGAGGCACAGGAGCTCAAATAGGTTCTCCCACTTGGGAATGTTAGTTGGTTGGTTAGTTGGTTGGTTGATTGATTTCCTGAGACAGGGTCTTATTATATAGCCTAGGATAGTCTCAAACTCACTGCAATCCCTCTGTCTCAACCTCAGGAGTACTAGGATTATAGATGTGAGTCACTATGCCTGGCAGCCATTGGATGGTAGAAAGGTTGGTAAATTTCCACACTTGATGTCCATTCTGGAGTCTGATTTTCAGTTCTTTTTCAACCCTATGGCTGTTTACTGTCCTTCTTCAGACTTTTCTGTTTCCATAGGCAAAGTAAATTTCTAGAACCTCCCATGTAAGAATCCTCTCTGATAGAAGGCAGCTGGTTCCTCCCTCATGCATTTAGAATGTCTTGAGTAAGTCATTTTTTGGAGGGCACAGAGGAAACAAGTAGAATGAGTCTGTAATATGTTTACACCTCCCCCCAAGGCAGCCTCTCTCTGGCTTGCATGTAAGAAGGACCATCAGCGCTGCCTTATTTCAGCTCTCCCGTCACCCTCATCTTCTGAGGCACTCTCGAGGAGAAGCCATGACCATGAATCTTTGAAGGACTTCTATATGCTTGGAAATGCAGGCAACTGAGGCTAACTGCTTAGCAAGGGAACCCCTCCACAGCTCTGTAAAGCACACTTCCTTGCTTAGGCATGAAGGATCTATTTCCTGTCTAAGAAGGCAGTTTTCATCTTGTCTGGTGTCTGAGTTCTGATGGCAGTCCCATTCTGTTCCTTTGGATCAGCTTCCTTCTTTGTAGGGAAGCAGTGTTTAGGGAACTGGCCCTGATTCTCTGGGGACTTTGGGTTCCAAGACTATTGTCTCCTCTCAGTATCCTGCTCATTATTCTATTTTGCTGAAGTACTTGGAATGAGAGCTTTGGGGAGGGATCTGTATAATTATATGAATGAATAGGCACATTCATTTGAAATGTTTTCAGATTCCCTAGAATGGAATCTTATGTTCCTGCCTTGGAAAAACACTCTTGAAGAGGGAAACAGTGTGGTGGAATGTCCTTCTTAATCCAGGGGTACTTCATCCAGGCGGAGGGGGTGGGGACCTAGTTTCCAGAGTAGGTTCTCTCCTTCCACTACGTGGGTTCCAGAAATTGAACTCAGATCATCAGACTTGGCAGCAAGCATCTTTACCTGCTGAGCCATCTCACCAGCCCCACTTCTGTTCATGTGAGTCACCCTGCTTGTGATTCTTTTGTTAAGGAAGCCCCAGGACACTAATTCAAAAATACTGTCATCCCTCTGCTCTGTTAGACGGTAGGTAGATTCCCTCCCTACAGAAGCTGAGCCTACTCCTTGAGTCCTTGCCCCCTTTCTGGTAGGTGGTCTTTCTTCACTCTCCTGGGTCTCCCATGTCCCTTGTGCTGACTCAAGCAGCCACACACAGAGGCTTCAGTTTATAGAGTCAGCCTGGCAAGTTTTTGCTCCAAGGACTGTTTGACATGGTGACCATGGCAACTCCCAAGCCAAGTAAACACTGAATCTCCCACCTCCTTCTTTCACAGAAGTGCAGGAAAGATTTCTGGAAGGGACCAGGGAGGGATCACACTAGACCTGTACAGCAATCCAGAAATTCCAGAGCCCTGTGTGCTGTGTGTGATAGTTTCTAATGATGCTCACAGAAAGAAAATGAGCATCAGGTAATAGTCCCAGAAACAGCATGGGGTACCAGACAGGGTGTAAGTGGACAGAGTTCAGCAAGGCCCAAAGTGCTGATGGCATTTAGACATAGTCAACATCAACACATGAGACAGAAGAGGGAATGGAGGAGCCCGACTCTTCTACTGTGTGAGGAACTGAAGTCTCCTGATTGATGGGTAGGGAGCTGGACTCCGTGTGCTGAAACACAGCACCAGAATCTGACTGCCCAGTTCAAGCAATATTAGCAGAATGTGATTCAGGGGCTGGGCTCTGAGGAAGAGGGTTACAGTGTCCATACATGGGTCAAAGGTCCAGACAAGTGTAAGGACTCTACTCTGAGAAAGTATATAGACAGGGAGACCCAGAAGGGTGAAGCTGGAGAAGCAGAAAGGAGGAAGGTGCTTCCGACTCAGCCTGAACTCAGCAAATCTTAGGTCTGGACAAATATCCTTGAACCTGTGCTGTTTTTGAGCTGGATTCCTGGAGGAATGCAGGGCACTGTGATTCGGGTTTTTCCTCAGAGGTTCTGATGCAGCCAAGAAAACAGATCCACAGGCAAATAAGCACAATTCGCTACCTTATGCGGTAAATTGGGCTGTGAAGAAAGAGCTGTGAGATCATGGGAGGCAGAACTATAGCTTGACTAGGAACTTGGGCACAACATGCACTCCTCATACAGTGGCCTAGATAAATTATAAAACAAAAGGGACAGTGGTATTCTATTACTGCTCCTCCTCGGCATCCTCAGCCTAGGTCTGCACTTCCTTTTACTGTTGCTGTTTCTTGGTCCGCTTTGAATCACTAACTTCAAGCTCAAATCACCATACTGGAGCCACACATTGTTAGAACATTAATTCTTCATCAGAGTTCAGTGGATTTTCATATTGCAGCAGGCACACTTAGAGAACTCTGATGGTCTTTGTCACATGGAGGAAGATGACAAGTCTGTGACCGGAGGCTACATGCCCTGGGAAGTTGTCTCGGGTGGCCATCCCTCAGGCTCACTTGGTGAACCTTTGTACCTTTCACTAATATATGGGAAAAACGCAAAACAATGGAAACTGCCTGGGATACTTTCACACTTCCCCAGTTTACTGTCTTCTCTCCTCACAGTCCCCTGCTGTGACTTCTACTGATTGGGCAGTGTCTTGTAGTTCCCCAGCCCTCAGTAGAGTTGATCAGTCCACTCACACACACCTGATCCAAACAAACCAACATGGTACTTCCTTCCCAGACTTTGAAAGAATATATTCTGTTGGTAGAAATGTAAATTGGTACAGACACTTGGAAGAACAGTAGGGTGTCTTCAAAACCTGAAATAAAGCTGCTGTATAACCCATCTGTCCCCCTTCTGGGTACATCTCGAAAGGAAATGAACTCAGCTTGTGTAAGAGACACGTGGGCTGGGGAGATGGTCAGTAGCTAAAGTACTTGCCAATCAAGGTGAGGCCCAGAATTTGGATCCTTACAGTCCATAAAATCCAGGGAAGTGTGGTGGCTACTCAATCCCAGAGTGCACACGGTGGAGACAGGTGATCCCTGCGGCAAGCTGGCTTCTCAGGAGTTGAATTGGCAAGCTCCATGTTCAGGAAGAGACCCTGTCTCTATGAATAAGAATGAAGAACAGTCAAGCAGGATGCCAACTTCAACCGGGCCTCCACATATGCATACATACACATGTATATGCACATACGCACACACACACACACATATTGGTGAAATTATTAAGGCCACTCCACGTAGTTAAAAGGAGATTTATTTAATGGCGTAACTTACAAATTAAGGGATAGGTAGGTCGCGGGGTCTGGGGAAGGTGTATCGCAGTCCAGCGGTGTTCTCTGGAGCTCTGCTTGGCCCACCTCCACCGTCCAGGGTCCCGAACCAGCACGAGCTGGTCTCCAGGTGCCTCCCTTCGCCCCGCCTTGTAGGCGTGACAGTTGCCGAAGTCTCAATGGGGGTTGGAACTTCCAGATCAAAGTTGGAATGGCTACCCCACTACATCTCCCCCTTTTTGTCTAAATAAGAAAGTTCTAACCTAATACCAGACTATATACAAAGGAATGGTTATCAAATATTGTCCAGGAATAATGAGGGATAATGACCTAGATAAGATGGAACTACAACCAATGCAAACAATATCAAGCAAGAAACACATACTAAAATCCAGAGAAGTATAGAGCATAGGTAAATGGCATGTTACAAAGATCGTTCCAAAAGTTGTCCTATCCTTAAGAACCTGAATCTAATACTTAATATGTTCTATCTACTAAGTTGTAACTATAACTGCTAGTCTTCAATCCCATCAAAGACCTGAGAAGGAATATAATGGTACCTGAGAAACACACATTTGCCAGTGCATATGCATACTGCACACTCAGATATGCATGCAAAAAGAGACCAAGAAAACAGACATAGCCACCTTCCTGTGCTTATTGCACTGTTCCCAATAGCCAAGATGTGGAATAAACCTCTGTCAATCATGGATGAATAGAGGATGAAAACATTACCCAGAAACACAAAGACAAATGCCAAGTGTGGAAACTGATCTCAGAGAATGGAGGTTAGTGATCAGCGAGGAACAAAAGTAGAGAAAGGTCAGATAACGGGTCCCAAAGTACAGTTAGGTGGGAAAAATAAGTTCTAGAGCCCTTCAGCGGTACTACAGTTTACAATAACTTACTGAGTATTTTAGGAAGGATCAGAAGAGAGGAGATCAAAGGCTCTGAACACAAAGGAATCAAAAATGCATCAGAAGACCACTCAATAACTATACACTGTGTGCCTGAATTGAATTATCACATTGTACCCATAAATATGTATGAGAACAATGCACCATTTAAAATTAAAAGGTCATTGTTTATTTTTTGTAAGGATAATTTGTCTGCTGGTGAGAGTGGGGTGTTAAAGTCACCCACTATTATTATGAGTCAATCTGTGCCTTTACTACAAGTAGTGTCTGTTTTATAAAAACTGGGTGTGCCAATATTCAGTGCACATATATTTAGAATGTTATGCCATTCTGATGGATTGTTCTCTTGATCAAAAGTAAATGACCTTTTTTGTCTCTTCTAGATAGCTTTGGTCTGAAGTATTCTTTGTCCAATATTGATATTACTGTATCTGCTTGCTTTCTAGTTCTGTTTGTTTGGCATGCCTTTCCCACCCTTTCCCTAAGGCTCTGTTTGTCTTTGCCAGTGAGATACATTTCTATCATACAACAGATAGATGGGTCCTATTTTTTTTAAATAATATCTGTTAATCAGTGTCTTTTGATAGAGGAATTAAGACCATTAATGTTCAGAGTTCTTTGATCTGGAAACTTCTTACCTGCTGGCTAGTTGTCATAGAAACAGACAAAATGTGCTGTGCAGGCTACTGGGGATGAAAAGACATCAATATAATACCAACCTATTGGGCAAAATGTAACTACTACTACAATAGTGGTATGAAGGTTACGGGTAGAATCAATCTCTTTCTGATCAGATCTGAGACCTTCTCCACAGTAGAGAATTGATTCCTGATACTGTAAACCTGGTCAAAAGCCCATGGTGTGGGAGGTCACAGACCCTAGCAGGGAAGCTACTGCTGTTGTTTGTTAAATGGACATGTTCAATAGCTTTCTAAATATTTTTATGTTTATGCCTCAGTGTTGCTCTCAACCTTGGCCAGAGAAGGATCTTCCTGTAGTGGATGTTAATGCAGATATTCACAACTGGTCAAAGTGCTGAGAATAAGAACTTGTTGTGTGCTCAGCCCTAAATGGAAATGTATATTAACCCCCAACCTAAATAAAGCTCAAGGAACATCTCTGAAGAAGGAGTAGAAAGAATGTAAGTGCCAGGGGATGAAGAGGAGTGCTGTGAAGTCTTATCTTCTGGGCATGACATAGCCACTGTACTCATAAACTCACTGTGGCTGTGGTGGCTTGCACAAGGTCAAGTCAACAAGCTCAGTCATCAGCTCAGCAAGCTGTTGGACTTCGTGGGTTACAACAAAAGGATGTGATTGGGTGGTGAGAGATGTCGGGGAGCATTGGAAGGAGTCGGGAAACTGGGGGCATGTGACCTAGATACATCATATGCATATATGAAATCACTAAAGAATAAAAAGAAAATATCCTTTAAAAGTACTCAGAGGGGGCTGGAGAGATGGCTCAAAGATTAAGAGCATTAGCTGCTCTTCAAGAGGTCCTGAGTTCAATTCCCAGCAACCACATGGTGGCTCACATCCATCTATAATGAGATCTGGTGCCCTCCTCTGGTGTGCAGGCATAGGTGCAGATAGAACACTGTATACATAATAAATAAATTTTTAAAAGTACTCAGAACTCTTACTGAGAGTGCATATTAACTCCTGTCATTGTGTTGTTTTGTGATGGTTGGAAACTTCCCGGTCTTTCTTTGTATATCTGCTGCTCTAGGGCACTCTTTTTTCCCATAGCTTTGTGGTGTGCTTACCTTGCTTTCCTATAGGTATGATTCCTTCAGATATTTTCTGTAGTGCTGGGTTAGTAATAATGAAATCTGTTAATTTGCCTTTATCACGGACAGTTTTCTCCTTCATCGATGACAGATAGACAGCCCTGCTGGATATAGTAATCTGGATCAGTATGGACTAGTCAGCTCAGCTGATTAGTACGAAGTGCTAAAAAGATATTAATATGGGTCACTACTCACAATAGCCAGCTGATGGAATCAGCCTAGGTCTCTATCAACACACAAAAAGATTGTTAAACTGTGGAGATATATATGCATTTTCAACCATAAAGAATAAAATTATATTGTTTCCAGTAAAAAAAATGAATACAACTGTAATTATGATGTTAAACACAATAGGTCAGACTGAAAAAAACAACAACAAATGCCATATTTTCTCTTATTTGTGGAGCCTGTGTGTGTGTGTGTGTGTGTGTGTGTGTGTGTGTGTGTGTGTGTGTGTGTAGGCCTGTCTGGGGGACTGTAGGAAACTAAAGGGGACAAAGACAGTATGGGGAGGACTATGATCATGATAGCCTTCCATATCTTCATTAACCCCATCACTATGTACGATGAGTAAACAGCAACAAAAGAAATAGAGAATCACCCTTCCCCAGACCGTAACCTGGAACACAAGAGCGCAGACCCTGCTGAGTGCCTGAATTGGGAAGCCTGTGAAGCTGAGACCTAACATTCATGTCATTGTTGAGCGTAAGTCAACTGAAGGAAACCAGTCACCAAAGGACACATGGAACAGACCCACTAAGTGAAGCAGAGAGGAGATATCAGGACAAAGTGGGGGAGAAGGTGGATGGAGAGGGGATTGTCGCTGGCACCGGTGATTTTTGACTTCTTCATCAGGTCGCGGTGTGGTGTTTATCTGAATTAATTAATCTTTTTCTTGTGCGGAAGAAAGCAGAGTGGATCTTCACTCCAGTGTGATCCCAGGGCCCTTCCTTTCACATGTTGAACAGGGAGTCACTGTAGAGTGCAGACTCGTTGGAACCCTTGTACTTATTTCTATGATGTGGAACTCTGGTGAGAACGCAGAAAACTGAAGACTAAACCTTAAGTCCTCTGAGAAGGAACACCCTGTACCCTACCCCATTCCTTCCACACTGAGAATGTCCTATCTGTGGGGTAGACTGTGATATTTCTGATATGTTACCATGTCGCTGAATGCAAAGGGGCCTCCAAGTAAGAGTGAAGACAGGGACTTTTAGGACGGCCCTGAGACACCTTGAAGAAAGGAAACAGAGACTTAAAAAGTCTTAACAAAGCCAGTTCAAATAAAGCCTTTCAGATCCTGGCATGAGGCCTCTTCTGAGACCATCATTTGTCCTGGAGAAAGACAGTGGATTCTGCTAATATTGGGTCAAAACGTGGCTCCTACCCAGTAACGATCTTGAAGAAGCACAGCAGTTACAGAGGGCTCCACAGACCTCACAGGAGAGCAGCGGAAGAAGACGTAGTTGACAGGTCATGTGACACAGTCAGAAAGCAGGACAAGACCTAACCTGTAAGATGGGGACAATGGAATTGTGCTGGCTGCCAGCCAGGTGATGCCTACATACACTGTGGAAGAGACAGTGACGTGACCCATTTACTGGAGAGCCTTTTCTCTGGACAGTGGGCTCATTGCTTCTCCAATGGTGCTGTTGCAGGGGCAAGATGGAACCCTGGCTCCTGCTGGATTTGGAGTCCTCACCACAGCCACCAGGCCCCAGACATGACCAGCTGAGCTCAGCTTCAGCTCAGCAGCCAGCACACTTCCATTAGCTTGCACTACAGGACAGAGCACACTGTCTCTGAAGGAGGAATGTACCAAGGTTGTGGATGGACTGCTGTGGGCATGGAGCATGACCATATTACTCTCACTCACCCAACACCTAGTAGTCACATACCACAATGTAAATCAGCACACTCCTCGTGTTTTCCCAGGCCTAAGGGAACCACACAGAGCTGAGCTTCCCTGGTCTATGTGCTTTTCCCAAATTCCCACCCTTCTCATTAATTCTGCTGCCTCTCCCTCCAAAAAGCTTGCAAGGGTTTCTGTCACTTGGAACTAGATAACCTGAAGCTAAGATTAAAAGGAAGCAATCAGGGTAGAAACTTCTTCAGTTTACAAA